CAGCAACCATTGGGTTTATTTAGTGGAATAGATACCCCAGCTAAAAAAATCTTGGAGTGGAATATTTGAATTAAGTGAGCACATGGTGTCAAAGCACTGCCTTGCATGGGAAAAATGCCTCCCTTTTCCCCCTTGCTGTGGGGAAATGAAGAGTTGAAGGGGTTTTTGATCTGGTCTTTTTGTTCAAAAAAGGAAACCTACCCACTTTCTTCAAATTGGGCAGCATTTTCTGAGTTTGGAGAGCAACTCGGGGTGCTCTGAAATAGCAATCTGAACATGGACTGAGATGCAGCAACTCTGTGTAACAGCCAAAGTAGCTTTGGGAGTAGCTTTGAAGTCCCCTGTGCCTGAGGCCATGATACCTCATAACATGGCGTTTTATCAAATAACTTGTAGGTCTCTTTTCACTACTACTGCTGGATTTGATGAGATAGGATGTCTGGGTGCTTTGGCTAGAACCGTGGTTTGTATTGGGTGTCATAAAAAAGGTATGCATGATTTCAGGCTCTCCTCCCCTTATGGGTCTCTCATCTCCTCTACTTTAATGAAAGTAATAATAATTACAACAATAAGATGATATGCATTATCTTAAGTGCCTGTACACTGAGTGGTAAGCCAGGAGTCTTTGTGTCCCCCTGAGAGCTCTTCTGTCAACTGCTCTTAATATTTCTGTGGTCTTTGCAACTCTTATGGTTAGCAAACCTCCACGAGGGGGAAACTCCTCCAGCTACATGTAGAAAATACGACCAAGAAGCTGAACAAGATCACATTAGGTGGAGTCTGTGGACATAGGGCCCTGGATGGATGCTAGGCAGGGATGATGGAGCCATGCTGTAGGCAGGGGGAATGGGGTGATGCTGCAGGCAGGGGAGCTCGGAGTGATGTTGCAGGCAGGGAGGGTGGAAGGCGGTTGCAGGCAGGATGGCGGAGCCGCGCTGCAGGCAGGACGGAGCCACGCTGCAGGCAAGGGGTGACGAAGCCATGCAGCAGGTGGGCAGGATGGTGGCAAGATGCTTCAGGCAAGGACGGAGTGATGCTGCAGGCAGGGATGATGGAGTGATGCTGCAGGTGGGAGAACATGGAGCAAAGCTGCAGGCAGGGGGAATGGGGTGATGCTGCAGGCAGGGAGGACGGAGCAATGCTGCAGGCAAGGGGTGATGGAACCATGCAGCAGGCAGGCAGGATGGTGGCGAGATGCTGCAGGCAAGGATGGAGTGATGCTGCAGGCAGGGGAAGGTGAAGCGATGCTGCAGGCAGGGGAGCATGGAGCCATGCTGCAGGCAGGACGGGCCCACGCTGCAGACAAGGGGTGACGGAGCCATGCGGCAGGCAGGCAGGATGGTGGTGAGATGCTGCAGGCAAGGACGGAGCGATGCTGCAGGCAGGGATGATGGAGCCGTGCTGCAGGTGGGGGGAATGGGGTGATGCTGCAGGCAGGGAGGACGGGAGGCGGCTGCAGGCGGTGGGGATGGAGCCACGCAGCAGTCAGGGGTGATGGAGGGCTGACACCCCACTCCCAGCACCCGCATCCACTGGTGTCGCTGCCGCCAGCCTTCAGCAGCAACCTGCTGCCTCAGGAGGGACGGGGGACAAGGGGTTGGGGACCCCCCGGCCGCAGCCCGGCCCATCTCTGGGGACAACCCAGGCTGGGTGACGGTGGCCACCCGCCATCCCCCTGAGCTGGGCAAAAGGAGGTGTGTGTGTGGGGTGTGTGTTTAGCGGCTAAAGCCCTCAAATCCCAAATTGTGCTGCCCTGTCACAGCGAGGGTTTAGCGGCAGTTGCGTAACCCCGGGGGCCACCTGGCCCCCACCCGCTGCCGTGTCAGCAGCCTCGGCCCAACGCCCCCGTGTGTCCCCCCCGGCAGGGGAAACTGAGGCACGGAGAGGGGGGGGGTGACT